ACACAGAACCAGACCATATCACTGACTCCTGAATAGCATTTCTTTCCTGCCTTTCCTTCCTCCTTCCCTCCACAGGTCACAATGATTCACCTGTGCCAGGACTTTTCAAATCCCAGTAATCACAGCAACTCAAAGAGGCCGGACAGAATGCTCGTAAATCAAAACCAAACAGTTAAGAGGGAGCCGGCCGCTTCCCAGTATCTTCATGAAGCAGCTGGCCCAGGCCAGGGGTTGCATGTAAATTCATTTTGAAATGACCTGGGAGGCAAAATTACTTTCAACATAACTTTAAGCAGAGAAAGTTCCATTCTGCTTCGTCAGCATGATGTAGCAATTAAAATGCCGGTTTTCCTCTTCTTTGAGCACTATCCTTGAATAATTGACGGCTACACCCACCAGAGGCTGCAAGGCTGTGCTGAAATAAAATGATTTTCATTAGGAGTAGGTGTGGAGCTTCAAGCTCATCTCAGGGAGTTCCTCCAGGAAGCCTTTAGGATCCTGCCTCCCCTGAGACCTGGGTTTGGGGCCCCTCTCGTGGGCACAGCTCTCCTCCAAGCCTGGATCCTTGTCTGCTGCCTGCTCCTCTTACTACCTGGTCAGCTCCTGGCAAGGGAATAGCGAGTCTTAACTCCTTTCTACTTTCAGGATCCATATGGTGCTCAAATGCCCATTGAATGAGTGGTTTCCCTAATTGCCCTTGCGTTACAATCCCCTTTATAAATGGAACATCTCCTTTTCTAGTCACTGCTGAGGAGAGGGAATCTGTTTCCTCTCTTGGGGACGGGGAGAGAGGGGATCCCTTTGGGGGATTGGGCATTACCAAGCCACTATACATGCTGCCCTGGGTCTGAGGGAGTGGGGAACCGAGGTAGGTGGTGTGATGGGTGCCTTGACATGAATTGCCTGGTGGGGCGGGGGAAGGAAAGGACATGGCAGAATGAGTTTTGTCTGGCAACGCACCATCAGCATGCAGAACCCTTCACCCTAGCCCAGACACCGAGGTACACCGAAGCAGCACCTCCTCTTCCTCCTCCGGGTCTCCCCCACCTCCTCCTTCCCAATTCCGCTCTGCCTTTGATTTTTTTTTAACCCACATGGGTTCTCCATTCCGCTTCAGAGTTACTGTAGCTGTGCATTTTCATCCTGAGTTATTCCCAGCAACACATGAGCACTGTGGAGGTGGAGGGAAGTGTTGGGTTTGGAAGAGGGAGGAGGATGGGAAGACCATCCCATGACTTCAGTTGTATGTGGGTACCATGTGTAGGAGAGCCACGTAGATGGGACAGAAGGGCTGCTGCTAATAACCACAGCAGGTGTGCTCAGGCTGGCCTGGGAGGAAGGCCTCCCCAACCGTGAGTCACTTAGAGTGGATGCCCTTGGGCTGCATCCTTCCAATTCTGAGGTCCCGTTCCCTCAGTTGCCAAATGGGATGATGCCTCATGTAGATGTTATGAGGATTACATGGGTGATATCTGGGAAAGCTCTCCATAAACAGATCCCAGTCTTATCTTGGCTGGGGGTGCTGCCCATGCCAGGGCCATATTGTTAAATGGTCCTTGTTATTAACTTGTTTATAAGGAGTGGCTGTATTAGTCCATTCTCATGCTGCTATGAAGAAATACCTGAGACTGAATAATTTGTAAAGAAAAGAGGTTTAATTAATTCACAGTTCCGCATGGCTGGGAAGACCTCAGGAAACTCACAATCATGGCGGAAGGGGAAGAAAGGCACCTTCTTCACAGAGCAGCAGGAAGGAGAAGTGCAAGCAGGAGAAATGCCAGACGTTTATAAAACCATCAGATCTGGTGAGACTCACTGTCACAAGAACAGCATGGGGGACCCGCCCCCGTGATCCCGTCACCTCCCATGAGGTCCCTCCCCAACACGTGGGGATTACAATTCAAGATGAGATTTTGGTGGGGACACAGAACCAGACCATATCACTGACTCCTGAATAGCATTTCTTTCCTGCCTTTCCTTCCTCCTTCCCTCCACAGGTCACAATGATTCACCTGTGCCAGGACTTTTCAAATCCCAGTAATCACAGCAACTCAAAGAGGCCGGACAGAATGCTCGTAAATCAAAACCAAACAGTTAAGAGGGAGCCGGCCGCTTCCCAGTATCTTCATGAAGCAGCTGGCCCAGGCCAGGGGTTGCATGTAAATTCATTTTGAAATGACCTGGGAGGCAAAATTACTTTCAACATAACTTTAAGCAGAGAAAGTTCCATTCTGCTTCGTCAGCATGATGTAGCAATTAAAATGCCGGTTTTCCTCTTCTTTGAGCACTATCCTTGAATAATTGACGGCTACACCCACCAGAGGCTGCAAGGCTGTGCTGAAATAAAATGATTTTCATTAGGAGTAGGTGTGGAGCTTCAAGCTACACCTGCGGAATTGCCCCTCATTCTTACTGGCCTCATCTTCATGCCAGCCGAGACCTCTTCCTCCAAGACCTGTTTGGTGCCCAAAGAACAGTTGGTGGAAGTGATGTATGTGGTGCCACTTTATCCTCCAGGCCTCTGTTGCTTCTGTAAAATGCAGACAGTTAGAGTCTTCCTTGGAAAGCTCTCGGCCTGGCTGTCAATGAATTTCTGTTGATGATATCTCGATAAAAGTTACCAAGCCTCGGGAACCTCCCTTAGGGCCAGGCACCAGGCGAGGTGCATTATTCACATGATCTCATTTATTTCACGCTGCATGACAGCCTTTCAAAGTAGGTATTTCTGTGTCCATTTCTACAAGAAAACTAGAGCTAGGAGAAATTAAGCAATTCATCTAAGACTGTGCAGTTAGCTAGAAGTAAATTTAGGGTGTCAGAGCCCCAAATCTATCAATCTGATTCTAAAACTTGGGCTGTCTCGTGCACATTATCTCCCTTTATTTTTCTGCAGAAACTTGTTTTTCAGAAACTAAATCAGTAATAAAGGAAGGTTGGAGAGAGTGATGATTAAAATCTGAAGAATAAGAACAACTTTTGTTAGAAATCGATATACAGGTGAGGTGCAATGGCTCTCACCTGTAATCCCAGCACTTTGGGAGGCCGAGGCAGGCCAGTCTCTTGAGGTCAGAAGCTCGAGACCAGCCTGGCCAGAGATAGGCAAAACCCTGTCTCTACTAAAAATACAACAATTAGCTGGGCGTGGTGGTGGGCATCTGTAACCCCACTACTCAGGAGGCTGAGGCAGGAGAATCGCTTGAACCCGGGAGTTGGAGGTTTCAGTGAGCTGAGGTTGTGCCACTGCCCTCCAGCCTGGGCAACAGAGACTCCATCTCAAAAAAAAAAAAAAGAAGAAAAGAAAAATCGATATACAGATGCAATAGAAGCAAATTTTGTCTCCTACAAATCTCTACATATAGTTAGCGTACCTTAGGTTACTACATAGAATTGTAAGCCATAGCTCTTTAAAAATATGTGTGTGTACACACATGCAGAGTCATGCTTCACTTAATGACAGGGATACATTCTGAGAAATGCATGTTAGGTAATTTTGTTGTGCAGACATCATGGAATTTATTTTACAAACCTACATGGCACAGCCTCCTACAAACCTATACTATATGGCATAGCCTATGGCTCCTAGACTACAAACCTGTGCAGCATGTGACTAGTGAATACAGTACAATAGGCGAGTGTAACATAATGGTAAGTATTTGTGCATCCAAACATATCTAAACATAGAAAAGGTATCGGAAAAATACAGTATTATAATTATATGGGACCACCATCCTATATGCAGTTATTGTTGACTGAAACATTCTGGGGGAGGGGGGGTATGTGTATTCAAAGGGCTGCATTCGTCAAAAATTGTGAGGTTTTATCCTATATGTGAAATTATCTAAATAAGCCCCTTCAGATTTAGTCCATAGTCACCACAGAGTTACTGCATAGGGAATGCTTAATGAAAATTGCTTTTTCCTAGGTGGAATTTTTCAGGCCCCAAGTGGTGAAAACGTTTTACTTACAAAACCGCTTCAACTTACCAGAAAATGAAAGCCAGAAAGCGGTAGCCAGGCCCTGTATTAGAAACTCCACGTGTCTTTGCATCTCCTCCCTGCCCTTATGTGCCCTTTCTCTTCAGATCAGTATTTACCGAATGTGCCAGATTTGTAAGAACTTGCATTCTGCCCCACACTCCCAGGGAAAGCATGGCGTCTGCAGGGGAGGGAGGAGCCCCGTGTGATGGCGTGGCAGGAACAGGAGGGGCTGTTCTCTGCTGTCTAGGGGGAGTGTTGGAGTGCCTTTTGTTTTTAATTGTTTTATATGTAAACATATTTATACATCGATGTATTTGTAATATCTGTATTTTTAAATGCATATATGTGTATATGTGTGTGTGCTTGTGTGTGTGTGTGTACATGTATGTATGTGTATATATGTATGTGTACATATATGTATATATATGCATGCTTCCTTCCTTGTACAGAGAAGTACTCCAGACTGGCAGACGGTGCTTTTAATTTTTATGTATAAATATGCATATTTTAATTTTAAAACGTTGATGTATACATTTATACGATATATATCTCTAAACATACACATTTATGTGTGTGTGTACATATCTAGTTAAGACTCGGCTTGTGCCCCGAGTGTGTGAAACTCCCCAGACTGACACAGGTTCTGTGCTACGCGGGTTCTGGCGAGCAGGGACGCGACTGCGCCCCCCGAGGACTGTTCTCTGGTCTGGTGTGGAGATGCAGGCTGCACCTTGCACTCCGGATGTCGGGGCGTTAGTTCCCGTGGTGTCTGGGAGGAGCCGCGCTCCCACACAGAGCAGGAGAGCTGGCTGTTTTGGAGCAAAGGGGGTTACAAAAGCTACGGGAGCCAGCACTGTCGGGTGGTTGCAGCAGCTTCTGGAAGGTTGGAGGGGAAGACGGTAGCATTGGAGGCAGCGGGGGCACTCGGGCAGGGACGCAGGGATTGGAAATGCAGCCGTTCTGGTGTTGAGTCGGGGTGTGGCGGCCGTGCTAAGGAACGCTCCGCCTGGCTTTGGGTTTCAGGTCCCACCCGAAAGATGCCCCCCAGCGCCAGTGCCGTGGACTTCTTCCAGCTCTTTGTCCCAGACAACGTCCTCAAGAACATGGTGGTGCAGACAAACATGTACGCCAAGAAGTTCCAGGAGCGGTTCGGGAGCGACGGAGCCTGGGTGGAGGTGACGCTGACGGAGATGAAGGCGTTCCTGGGCTACATGATCTCCACCAGCATCTCCCACTGCGAGTCCGTCCTCAGCATCTGGAGCGGCGGCTTCTACAGCAACCGCAGCCTCGCCCTCGTCATGAGCCAGGCCCGCTTCGAGAAGATCCTCAAGTACTTCCACGTCGTGGCCTTCCGCTCCAGCCAGACCACGCACGGGCTCTACAAGGTTCAGCCCTTCCTCGACTCACTGCAGAACAGCTTCGACGCTGCCTTCAGGCCTTCCCAAACCCAGGTGAGGCCCGTGCAGGAGGTAAGAGCTCGGCCAGGTGTCCTCGCTCTCTCGGCCTAGCCTTATCTGTCGGCAGGGCTTTGGGGTGTCCTGCCTGCCCTGAGTTCACTTCAAGGTCACCTCTGCTATTCTTCCATTCCATTAATCCACATAATCCAAACGAGATCGAAGGGGAATAGTAATAATAGCTCCAGCCCTCAGAGGAGTCAGAATTCAGTGTTTTGCTCTGAGAGGCAATCTTCCTCCTCTTTTCTCCCTATCCTTCATTTAATTATACTTTCCAAATGATGTTTTGCTCAGGTGAATATTAATTTTATTGTCATATTCTCTGAGAATGACCTCACCTGTTGGCGATGAAAGGAGGCTAGAAGCGTCCTGGGTGGCAGAGGGAGTGAGCCTGGACTTAGAACCATTCTTCAGACTATCAGGGGTTACTTATGGCCACACACAGCAGAGCCAGAGTCTTTGGATGAGGGTTTGGCAGAGTTCCGGGCATCACTGGTCTGATTCCCTAATACTTTCCCCAACCAATTCCAGAAGAAAAGGTTCTGCCTACTCTCGGCTCCCGAGCCCCTCCCTGCCTTCCGCTGGTATCCACTTGCACCTGGGACAATAGCACCTGGCCCTGGGGAGACAGAACTCCAGAATCTTCCTCAAAAATTGCCCTGCTGGTCTAGCAAACCGATGAGATGGCTAATTTCCAGAGATGTCTGTAACCCGAACCAGGAAGTTCTTGGCCCTTGTGGGCCCCATTCCCTTTGACTTGGTCTGTGTGGCAGCAGAAGTTCAGTTCAATTTTATGTATGTGTTTCAAGACCCATCGCACATCTCTCTCTCCTGTGCTGCTTCTAAGGCTCTTCTAAATAAACCTCCAATTCTTGTTGACATTCTCCTGTAGGTCCTCTCTCTCTCTATAGTGTGCCTTTCCCACACACAGCTAAATATCACAGGGTTTTGTGGGGAAGGTGGTGCCCTATTTCATGTCTGCTGGAGCCTTCCATTCTCTCTGGATCATTCTCCCCACTGTCTGGTGAACGTGTTAGGCTCGTTACGATTTCCGAGTGTTTGCAGCATGCCTTCTGGCCCCTGGAACGCCTTGCCTTCTTCTCTCTGCTTTGCAAATGCATCCACTCTCCAGGGCCAGTGTAAGGCCCACAGTCCCATGTGGATTCCCTGTTATCTGAATTCCCCCCAGTAATTGATGGGGCAGCCAGATGCCACTGTGCCTCATCCTCCAGTGTGTCATTTACCTTCCTAACAAGAAGTGGAGACTTGCGAGGACATGAGCCCTGCCCTATAACAGGCCCTGTGATAGGCCCAAGGACAGGCCTGAGCACATTATCTTTTCTTTCACTAAATGCTTGCTTGGTTGAAAATGAAGCAAATGAGAGACAGTTGCCTGGATGCAAGAGAAAAATAACACATTCAGACCATGCTGGGGTCAAACATTTGGAGCGGTGCTACAGAAGGCTCTGTGCACGCTGTGCCTAAGTATCTGTCAAGAGGTATCTGTAATATAAGTCCAGGGTGAGTGTCTGGCCTCTCTGACACACTTCAACACCCACTAGGAATTCTGAGATTTGTGGGCTCGCCTCTCTGCAGCTCCCAGGTACAGGTACCCTGAGGGGAGGCCCAGCAGCGTGGCTGAGCCCAGCTGGGTGGGCAGTGGCTGAACTGCAGGTGGGCAGGTAGGCAGGTGTCCGAGGGAGCAGCTCTGCTCTCCTTAGCACATGGCTCAGATGGGCAGTGCTGGGTTACCAGGAACAGGGAGAGCCTAGAAGGATGATCCTGTTATTCTGCCGCTCACTGCGTGTATTTGCTTCCAGGTGATGAGGCTTGCAGAAGCAGGGCTGAGATGAGGCTTAATCTGGGGAAGGGCTCTCAGGTCATGTTTAGGGCTTTTTCCCCTTTACTTTTGCTTTCACGTTTCCACCTCTTCCTCCTCCCTCTCCTCAGGCTCATTCTGCTCTCCTTCTATTACTTTGTATTTTGTTTTTATTTTACTGTATATGGGAAATTACATTTTCTTCTTACTACGTTTTCTGCTCAGTACTCCTCCGTGGCAGTGAGGATCCCAGCAGGACACAGATGCTGAGCTCTATCTAGAAGTCCAGCCGAAGAGATGCTGATGCAGGGACTGTTGCTAGGGGCGCAATCAGCATTAGGGGAGACCAAAGGGAGCAGAGAAGGCTGTAGCCCAGGGAGAGGCCTCAGGGCAGGTGGGCAGAGCTTTACCTTGAAGAAGCAGATCTATGGCCACTCCTTGGAGCCTATTTTTATTATGCCATTTCTTTTTTCTTTATTGTCTTATCATTGGGAAAAGTTATATAATCATGTTATCAAAAAGTTGAAATAGAGGAAATAAGTTTGAAATAAGTTGAAGGGGCTGATCATAGGCCCCTCCCCTTACTCCCTTGCTCTCCGGCCTCTTTCTGATGACTCCCACTTGGCTGAGCAAGCCAGAAACTGGGGGCAAAGAAGCTGGCTGGGATAGTTTGTAAGAGGCTGACCTCCAGGCCTCAGCGCAGGGTCCGCGGGATGGAAAGTGACCCTGGGGGGCAAACAGAGAACACCCAGCTCACCCCATCATATAGCCTGGGGCACGAGGCTCTGGGAGAGTCAAAGGGTTGACTGGTGCCACGCAGCCTGTTGCACCAGCTCCGTGTCAGTAGGCGTGGAGCAGGGTAAGTCAAAGGAGATGAAGTCATAACGAGAGTACGGTTGGGTGTTTACTGTGACCAGAACCTCATGCTTCCTGGGGCTTCCTGTACATCTCCTGTGCCCTCCGTTCCCTGGAGCAGCAGCCTGCCCCATCTGCTGAGGATGCCCCGGGCTTTCTAGTCTCCCAGGGACTTGCAGGCCTTGTCATTCCCCAGGCTGCCAGCATTGGCCCGCCCTGCTCGGCTCCTGCAATTATGCTCCCCTCAGAGACACATCTGCCACTTAAAGAAGGAAGAGGGTTCTTGTCCTGATCCTTGATTGGAGAAGCTGGAGGCTCTAAAGGAGCCTTGGATTCCTAGCTTTCCTGCTCTGTGAAAATCCCTGTTGGACCCTGGAACATTCAGCTCACAGAGAGGCCATGATTTGCTTGTAAGCCTCAGGGCTTTCTGGGAGGGTCTTCCTCTCTACCTGCAGACACCAATTGGAACAGTTCTCTTCCCATTGCCCTCATCAGGTATGTGTATGGATCAGAATCCCAGGAATCATTCTGCACCCGTCCCTTACACCATCCCTCGGGGCTGCACTCCAAACACACAGCACACTCACCTCACACACTGAGCTCACTCACACCCTCCAGCCTGCAGTCTTGGGAGCCTTTTTTTCCAGCAGCTGTGACCCTTTGGTATGAGTTTGGTCTTAGAGTCTTCAGAGGATTCCCAGAATCTAGCAGTAACCAAAGCAGCTGGGGTGTGTGTGTGTGTGTGTGTGTGTGTGTTTCTACGCAAATAAAAATGGGGAGACACTGCATCTCCTCAAAACTGGAGCCAGATTAGAGAAATATTTTCGGGGAGGGATTATGCAAATCAATAAATGGATGTTTTGTCTTTCCCCTACCATACATAACCACCCTCCATCCACACCTCAAACCACGCTTGTCAAGCACAGGAAGAGGCTCAGGAGATACAGTTGTGTAACAGAGAAATGCTGACCAATCTAGAGCCTGGAGGAGAAGCAAGTGGTTTTTCTGGCAGGCAAAGTTTTTGGAGCTTTGGGGAGCATGCCATTCTGTGCTACATTTAGTCATGACACGTTCAGAATTCATTTAATGATGGTAGGAAAGGAAAGAGATCATTGAGGGTCAGCAATTCTTGCTGGCCCTTTTGCTTTGATGAGGCATGTGATTAAATATAAATTTGCAACTGATCATATGTTCAATGCAAGTGGAACAGAGGTGCACTTTCTTTCTGAAGAGAATGAGAGAGGGCAATTTTCATTTTCTGTGGCCTCAGAGGACAGAGTAGGATGCACGTCTTCGGCAAGGATCATTGGGCAGGGAAAGGACAGGCAGAGGGCTTTTTTATGCCATCTTTTCCCTTCTCCATCTGCTCCCATTCTCCCACTGTGTGGAGGACTTGTCCATTGCACTTGAATAGTTCCAAATGGGGCTTTGAATGTTTAATGAGCTACAAAGAGCCAGCGAGTGCAAGAAGCCAGGCGTGAGGGCCAGGGGAGATGTTGCAGCCAAGCCAGCCTCCCAGCCTTCCCCTTCACAAGACAGGGGAGACCACATGTGATGTCCCCATGTGTCCGTTAGTAGAAAAACTGAGGAGGCAGGTATGCACTGCTAAGACTGAACAATGTAGGGCTGTCACTTTTCAAAAATTGAATGCAAGGTAACTGCATTCAATTTGCATTCAATCTCCACCCATCTTCCATTCCTAGAAGAATGGAAGGATATTGTCCACATCACACATGGTAAGTATCATCCTCTGTTCCATCCTTGGAGGACCTTTTTCTGCCATCACCTGGGAGCTTGTTGGGAACAGAGTCTCAGGCCCGGCCTCACTGAATCACAATCCACATCTTAGCAGGATGCTCAGGTGACTAGTTTGTTGAAACTTTTTCTGTAAATAGCCAGACGGTAAGTATTTTAGACTTTATGTGGGTTGTGTGACTGATGTTGCATGTTGTCAGTTGTGCTATTGTAGCCCCAAAGCAACCACAGACAATATGTAAACAAATGAGCATGGCAGTGTTCCAATAAAACTTTATTTACAAAAACAGACATGGGCCAGACTAGGCAGTAATTTGCTGACCCCTGATCTAGGGCATCGTGTAGAGTTCTGGGAATCATTGCCTGTACTCTTCATTTCTGTTCCCTACAGATGCACACTCTAATTCTTAATTAAGCTTGAGTTGGGATCAGGGAGGGAAGTGTAGCACATCCCTGAAATTTACCCTAAAGCCTCCCAAAAGAACTTTACCTTGAAGAAGCAGATCTATGGCCACTCCTTGGAGCCTATTTTTATTATGCCATTTCTTTTTTCTTTATTGTCTTATCATTGGGAAAAGTCATATAATCATGTTATCAAAAAGTTGAAATAGAGGAAATAAGTTTTAAAATTGCCTTGGGAATCTTGTCAGAAAGGACATGACAACCCAGAGGAGAGCCAGAGGCTGTGCGTTGCAACAGGCCAACAGGGAACTGGGTCATTTGATGGATGATTTATGAAAAGAGGAGGTACCGCCTGGAAGAAGGAGGTTGTGGGCTGACACGAGGGCTGTCTTGAAAATCCAAAAAAAAAAAAAAAAAACATTTTTTTTCTTTGTTTCTCACTGGACAGAAGTCACATCCTTAGGTTTAAGTTAAATACAGATAAATTGTGGATCAGTGAAAGACTTTTTTAGCAGTTGGAACTTTCCATGAGTGAAAGGGGCTTCCATGAAAAGAAGTGGGTGCCCATCACCAGGCATGTCCAGCCAGAGGACACGGGACCTGTGCCAGAGATCCCTCAACCAAATGAGAGTTGGGACAAGGGACCTTAGGCCAATAATAATAACAATAATAATAAATTCCACTGATGAAATATCTTCTGTGTATCAGGGCTGGTGCTGTTTTGCATGAATCTTACTGAATCCTTTCTTACTGCATCCTTTCTAGAAACAGTAGTGTAGATAATGATACTACCCTCCTATAGATAAGAAGGGTCATGATCAGAGAGGCAAAGTAACTTAGTTAAGGTCACAGAGCTGCTCAAAGGCAGAGGCTGATTTTGAGCTCCAATCTGATGAGCCCTCAAGCTCATGCTGCCTTCCGTGAGAGCCTCCGCTTTTTCCCTCCTGGCAGGTGCTACATGAACCCCTGATCGATGAGGATCCTGTATTCATTGCCACGTGCACAGAGCGGGAGCTGCGGAAGAGGAAAAAGCGGAAATTCAGCCTCTGGGTCAGACAGTGTTCTTCCACTGGCTTCATCATCCAGGTGAGCCCTGGGCTGAGTCCGAGGAGGGTCGGCGAAGAGGATTGGGGAAGTAAATCGGGGGAGCTTGGGCTCATCTGGTACCCAAGAACGTACTTACATACCCTTTTCACTGTGTGTCCAAGTCCACCCAGATGCTCCTGCAGAGGCCAGGGCTGGGCTGCTCCCTCCTCCCGGAGGCAGCGGGTAGCCGTCCCTGGAGAGGCTGCTGCCACACCTGGCCCCATTCCCTGCACATTCTTCCTGCAGACTCAAGCCCATCTGGGTAAATGACTCATCAAGGCTCAGTCCCTAGCAATGTTGGCTAGAAGTGTCACCCAAACAGTGGGTCATATGAGGTGACTAACATCTCCCTGGAGGCTGTCCCTCAAGACTTACGGACTCGTGGCTTTGAAACTTCAGGCTGTCCCAGGAGGCCTCCCCACTCCCACCAGCTATCTGCCCAACCTTCCTGTTTCCAGGATGCCTTCTTCACAGACCACCACCAACAGCCTGCTGGTGAAACTGTGAATAACCTTCCCCAGGAGCATGTGCCCGAGTCATCGGCCCTGGGAACCAGCGTGGCCAACATGGGGGCATGTTTTACACAAGGTGCCTGAGCTCTGCCTTTTATGATGATACTCCCAGGAAAAGCATTCGAGGTTGAGCTGCCAGGAGCAGTAGGGTACACAAAGGGAGATGGTGGGGACAGATAAACACCAGAATGTGGTGCCTAGGTGACGTCTCCCTGCCTAGTTTTTCATCCGTGCTGCCGCAGTGACACCTTCTCTCATCAGACAGGCAGACCAGCCCTGTGGTGACAGCTGACCGCACGCTCACTCGCTGCCCTCGCTTGACCGCATCTCCAGGCCCCAAGGCACAGGGTTTTTGCACTTCCATCTTTCCCTGAACTAGAGCAGGATTCGTAGGAAGATTCCAGCGAACATCTCCCCGCCACATCCACTCCAGAACCACAGTGGGGAAAGTGTACTTTCTCCAGGAAAATGTCTTCCCTCCAAAACACCATCTCGGCTCCGTCTGCAGGTCTGAGGGACCTTCAGTCTGAGTTGGGGCCAGAATCTCAAGCCAGACTCTGGGGCTCTGCTTGCGCATAGGCATTGTTTGGGGTCTCGCCAGACTGGACCTATCCCAGAGCAGAATTCCCTCACTCCTGGAGGTGCAACCTCAGCTCCTTGTCCCCTGACATTCTCCAGAGTCCTCTGCCATCTCTGTAGCGCCTTTTGTGATGATACGCCCATAGGGTACAGGTACATTGGATTCATTTTATCTAAACTTTCCAAAGGGACATTCATTCATTCTTTCAGTAAATATTTATTGGGCACCTGCTACCTGCACACGTTGTGCCAGGCATTGGGATATGCAGACATGGTCCTGCCATCCTTGAGGTCTGCCTAGGTAGCTTTTTTGTTTGGTTTGGTTTGGTTTGGTGTTTTCGTTTGTTTGTTTGTTTGTTTGAGACCAGGTCTCACTCTGTCACCCAGACTGAAGTAAAGCAGCATGATCATAGTTTACTTCGCCCTCAACCTCCCAGGTTCAAGTGATCCGGTCACCTCAGCCTCTCAGGTAGCTGGGACCATGGACGTGTGACACCATTCCTGATTGATTTATTTTTATTTTCATTTTGGTAGAGATGGAGTCTTACTGTGTTGCCCAGGCTGATCTTAAACTCCTGGGCTCCAGTGGTCATCCTGCCTCAGCCTCCCACAATGCTGGGATTGCAGGCAAGAGCTCCCATATCGGCCCTGTGTGGCTTTGGAACAAATGTTTACATGCAGATCCTGTGTGCATCTGGCACCACTTCTTTCTCCTTCTACAGTTAGTGAGGAGCTAGAAATCACATCTGTCACCAGAAAAGGCCACAGATCTCTCTCTCTCAGTTCAGATTAGTTCCCAATTTTATAAAATCTATCAAACCCACATCTAAAATGTAAGAAGTTTGGGTTGGTACCTTGAAGTTTCCTTTCATTTCTAAAACTCTTGATTCTAGGAGGTTTTGCAGCAGTGTGAAGGTTTGTTTTTAGAAGCCAGAATTGAAGCTGACAACTCCCAGTCAAAAGCAGTGTCGCTTCCACCATTGCCAGGGGCAGCCCTCAAAACGTGCTCAGAAGTGCAGAGCCAAGGAGGCAATTAATTACCCGGCAGTTTCAGGCTGTGCTGTGACAGGACTGGCATGAGAACTTTCTCAGCCCCCGCAGTCCCTCTCTTTGTTCCTAGGTCCAGCTGAAGGTGCCTGTGGCGGGCACAGAGCAGGGAAAGGACATCTCTGCCCGTGAGGAGCCAGGAGATGCAGAGGAGGAGCCACATGGCCTGGGGACAGTTGTTTTCATAGTGTCCTGCCCCTTTTCGTGGTTCTCCAGGTGCTAATCTTGGTTTGACAGCTTTTGAAGGTCAGCAGCCTGGGCAAGCACAGCCCTGGGGCAGAACAATACCTTACACTGTCAGAGCTTTCACACCCGCAGTTCCCTGATCCTCCACACAGCCTTGTAAGACATAGAGAGCAGGCAGTATTGATCCCGTTTCTTACAGGAGGTGACTTTGGCTCACAGGGCTTACCTGCCAGACAGCTGGTCAGCGCAGAGCTGGCTTCTCCCCTGGGCCTCGACCTGCCTCTTCCCTCATCCATCCCCAAGGCATCCACAGCCCCTGCTCTTGCATTTACCTCCCACGTGAACTAGCTGCTCAGTCATTGCTCTGGAACATGGAGTTGTCATCTAGAAACTAAAGGGGTGGAATTAGGTAACCAGTGAGATCCCTTCTATTGCCATTCTATGATTCTCTTCTTTGTAAACGTCATATGTGAGGTTCTGTACACAGGCCATTTTCTTCATTGTAGTTCCTCAGATGAATTGAGCTCTCCTGAATGACTTAGTGGAGAAGCTCAGTTGCAGCTGGCCGTGTTAAGGGTCATCTCCCGCTGTGCTGTGCTGTGCTGTGCTGTGCTGTGCTGTGCTGTGCTGTGCTGTGCTGCTAGTGCAGCACCTGCCCCACGCCCTCCTGTTTCTGAGGTAGGCTTTGGCCCGTAGGATGCAGGCAGCTGTGGTACGTGAAAAGATTGGAAGGGGCAAGTGCATACCTCTCCTTTTTTGGCTTCTCTGCCCTGGCCATGATAAAATGACCAGGATGGATCACCTGGGTCCTGAAAACCTGGGAGCTTAGTAAATGTTTATTACATGGCATATCAATTTTGTGGTTGTTTGAGACCCACTGTAATTGACCCAGGAGCCTTATCAGTTAGGTCTGCACAGCTGACCAGATAACTTTCTTCCAGCCACCATCTAATGTGGACCAAGATGAAGTGTTGAAGGGGCGGTGGGTGTCCAGGTGTGTTCCAGGAGAGCCCAAATGATGCATGGACATTGTTGCCCCAGCTTTGTAGTTTCATCCTGCCAAGACCCTGAGCCTTTGACTGGCTCGACTGCATTCTTCTGACAGGCGGGGCGACTGCGGGATGAGCTTCACTTCAAAGATTCTAGATGAAGGGGTGAGTGAGGAAAAGGAGTTCCAGATTGGCCGGTGGTCCCAGAAAAGGTCCGTGGGAAAGCTGAGTGGGAACTCAGTACAGCCAGCTCAGATCATCAGGGCCTCAGGCATGGTCAGTTGATCCCCACAAGGGCATTTGGATGAGAAGGAAGAAACAAACAGTTGGGCAAAAATAATAATAATGGTGATGGTGTTTAGAAGAGCTCTAATAGATTAGTATATTTTTATAGGTGTAATGCTCTTGAATTCATTTGAAGGGAAGTCTTTGATGAAAGTGGTTAAAGATCTTAAATAATTTAACTAAGAGAATATAGGGAGGCATGTGGTAGGATAGAAGTGAGAGGAAGAGATTAAGTTAACTATAGTTCTGAAAATTAAGGTGCTAATAGCCTGCATTGCTGAGAATGCAGGAAGCAAACAGTAAGAGGTTTTGAGGAGAAATAAGTAATCAGATGAGAAACAGACACAGCTTTACTGCAGAGTGTGAGTGACACCACCCGTGAATGCCATCCCGCTCTGAAACCTGGTCTTGCTTATCTGTCCTCACATTCCTCTTCCTAGTCTTCTTCCAGCAGTCTCTGAAAAGAGGCACTGGTTCGGATGGGCGGGCTTCATCTCCCACTTGACATTTGTAGGGCTGTCCTGCAGAACTGCTTATCTCAAAAGTCTTTGGATCCAAAATGTGCGTTTTGGTGTTTCACCGAGCACCCAGCACTTGGAAAAGAGTCAGTAGGCGAAGATGCTAACCTGCAGTGCTCCAGGCCAATGGAAACTGTCAAATGAGGCCATTCACGTTGCTCTGAGAAGTAGATTACCGCACGTGGATCTTCGGGTCTTTGGTAATTTGGTCAACTTTAATATGAGGAATGGTAAGAAATGAAATATATGTTGTGAGGGATAAAAAGAGAGGCATGGTTCTGTTATCAACAAGCATAGCTTTTTGTGGTGGTAAAATGCAGATGACATAAAATTTTCCATTTTCACCATTGTTAAGTGTGTGACTCAGTGGCACTAACTACATTCAGTGTTGTGCAGCTGTCACCATCATCCTCTCTAGAACTTTTCCATCATTGCAGCAGATGAGGGCACATCTCTTAGCTGCATAGCACACTGATACCTAGAAGTGGTGGATCTCCCATGAGCCCAGGTGCGTTCCAGATTCCCTGTCAGTGCTTTGGGAGCTCGGAGGAGGGGCCGTGGTCTAGTTGCAAGCTCTACTCTGTCTCCCGTGAAGCTCATCTCACTTCCCTGGGTCAGACTGGCCACGATCTCCCGCTCTCCCAGGACTGCGCGTGGGGCTCCCAGGGAGGGATAGATGAATGGCTGGGACAGCGCATGTGCTTCCTGGCCCTCAGCCCTGTCACCGTCTGTCTGCATTCCATGCAGGGGCAGTACTTGCGGTCACTGACTTGTAGCGTTGTTGAGCCAGTCCGTCCTCCAGCGTCTCTGTGGGGTGCAGGGATGCCTGGGAGTGCCTGTTCTTTACTTCCTGCCTGAGCTGGCTTTCTAGCTTTACCCCTTGA